ATTTCAACTGAAAATGATCCAGTGGACAAATAGCTCTGTCAGAAAATAAGCTGCACAGTGAAATGGATATGACTGTGCCCAGAAAAAGTATTTACTGAAATAATCAGACTTAAATCTATAATTAAAAGGCTAAAAATATTCTTGGTTAACGCACACACCTAACTATTCATTAATTTTGCAATGGCCTTTTTTACTTTGTTGTATTTTAAGGTTAGGTTTATTTTATTTGCATGCACAAAAGAGAAAGAACATCTGTGTAGGCAAAACAAAGACAAGTGAAAAACAATAACACAAGTTGCTATAGCACAGAAACCTAAAGACCCAGAGAAGTGATAAATAGGACCAACAAAGACAAGTCCAGTTTGATTTGGCTCAGGCTAATGGAAGAGAGTAGACTGAAACATGCTTATATAAATGCTCATATGGAATTAGTTAAGAATCGACCCTGGACAATGATGCTCCCACATAAATAAGATAAAGGAAAACTTGTGTTTATCTATAGCTGGGATTCACAGCAGAAATGAATGATTTTGTTTGCAGGCCTAACATAATTTGGCTACTAAATGTTAGTGTGAACTAAGTTAGTAGGCAAAGGCAAACAAGGTGCTGATCTACATGCAGCAACAGGCTTACACATACACCAGGTTAGTCCTATTGAACAGCCTATTGTTAGACTGAGACACTCATCTGTCACTGGAGAGGCAAATGAAGCACCAGTGTGCTACGCAAAAATATTTGCAAAACAGGCAAAAGCACACTTATGACCCCGAGGCTCCTTGTAAACTAAGAAAAACTGCACATGGGTGGAATAAAACACACTTGTGCACACAAAGGTAAACACAAACGTCATTAGGAGGCACACTGATGGCTCGAACCGAGAAACCAGCTCTCAGTAAAATGAATGGGGGTGAAGAGTGCAGAGTTCACAGCTTGCACTTACCCTCAGGAAACACAGCGACATTTGCCCTGTGTGCATTCATCACAACACCCAGATGATGCATGTAAGTGTTCAGACACACAAACATAGGCACAGGGCACAGCATTCAAAGCACCATCACTTTTAGAAAAACAGGCAGAAACAAAGAAGAAATACAACCAATCATTTCAATAACCAACTCGCAGTCCTTGTCAGAAATGCAACAAATATAGACACTACACAATTAATTTTTTCCCCTAGATGCTCTTTAACAATTGCTGTATTCCACTTTTGAGAAATAGTTTATGAAAAAAACATCAGCTGCTCTGCTTAGTGCTGTCTGACGACTTGCCTGCTGCATTACTAGTTTAGATGCTATTTTATTACTATAAGAGAAATATTTTGTTCATATTATATTTTATTCAGGCATGTGGTAGTAGTGCAAGTCTACAACTTTCAAAAGCCAAGAGTTAAACTTTAATAAAGTGAATACAATGTGTTGATCATAGTGAAAAGTATCTTGCAAAGCATCTTTTTTCTTAAAATGTTTTGCCCCAGCTACCATCTCTTATGAGAGAAGCAAAAGTTGTTTCGTACTTGGTCTTTGAATGGGGTTAGTTCACAATATTGTAGACGATCTGAAATGACTTATTTTCAGTCAGTGAGCTAAGCTTTCATCTTGAATGGGCCTTTTGTAAAACTCATCTGTAGCTGCATTATTGTGTCCTCACTTTACACCTATAACATGAGTCTATTAACAAAGGTGTGATGGCAGCAGCATGAAGCAGTCGCCTAAATGCCCCAAATGTCTCATCAACTTTCATCAGAACCCCACCCAAGCTACTCCCAGGCCTGTACTGTGCCTTAAGGCTGATAAACACTCACACTTATGTACACATTCTCGCACACAAAAGGTTGCTGAGTGCCCCTGCAAACAATCACCTGTTGATTAGATTACAGGAGCCATCTAGAGTGTGGAAATCGGATGTCATTATGTGGATGGAATGACAGCCAGCTGTGTCTGAGTGTTTGTGAGCCTCAGACAAAGAGAGGAAACAGCAAAGGAAGACAGAAAGTGACAGAAGAAGACAGGTAAAGTTGGCATGACACAACAAACCTCAACGTGATAAAGTGTTACACCAAACACATACAATGCTCAGGCTGGGGAGTCATGCAGTCTAAACTAAGCTGGCTCAGTGACAAAGTTACTGAGAATGCTGTTTGACACGCACAGGGTACCTTTCTGTCTCCCTCTCCCTCCCTCCATCTCTTTCTGCCATTCATGTAGCCATTTTAGGAGACGTTGAGTCACCCGAGCTCAGCTGACAATATGACTGCAATCAACAGGAGCAACGTCAATACACTAGACTTGACAGCAGGACAATTGTGACACTCACCCTCTAAGAAAGATGTAGTTTATCTTGCTGCCTCGCTCTCTGTCTCTGTTTTTCCTTCCTTTATTTCGTCTGGTGACTGGATTTGTGACTCACTTTTCTTTCTCTCCTCCTCTGTTTCTTGTTCCACTGGGTCAGACTGCCTTCTCTCTCTCTCTCTCTCTCTCTCTCTCTCTTTGCTTTCTTCCTCCACTCTAGATGGTGCTGAGAACAACAGGGACAAGTCAAGTTGTTCTGCCTCCCTCTACTTATTTTGTCAGGATGTCCAGTAGCCTGTGCTGTCTCTCTCTCTCTCTCTCTCTCTCTGTATCTTGCTTTCTTCCTGTCTACCTCTCTCCACCCTCAGTCACACACATGCACAAATCAAAAACCCATCGGCAACCCTCACCCCTCTCGCTTGTTCCCTCCCACTCCTTTTCTTTCTCAAGAGCCCCCCCTGCTCTTGGTCCTTCCTTTCTCTCATTCGCACACCTCCAAAACAGCTTGAATACCAAAGCTACTTCACGTGCTAGCATTCCCCCTTCTCTCATTTTTCCTCTTTCTCATCCTCCATCTACTCTCAGGCCCCCTCCTTTCAGCTCTTTCTCACTATCCTACCCTCTTGTTCGGTGTCTGTTTTCTTTCTGTCGGTTTCCTCTCAGCTGATAGAGCGAGGCATGCTTTGCTCACTCAGCAGTGAAGGCATACAGGAAAAAGGGGGGTTAAGAGCCTCTGATTGGCCAGGGGGAAGAACTGAAGGGGGGCAAGCTCCACCCACTTGCTCCTGTTCGGCCTGTTCTGCAGAAGTAGAAGACCAAAGAGCACTTTCTCCACACAGTGTTTGTGTGCTAAATCTGCGTCATTGACAGCTTCAAGCATGTTTTGTGTACAGCGTTTTAATTGTGTAACCTCTCCCCATAATGTGCCAGCCACATGTGTGTCTGTTAGTTAAAGAGCAACACTTAATAAAGGAGTTAATGCCTTGGGGAATAAAGATGCAAAAATCTATGTAATTCACCCTCCTCCTTCCTTTTCTGCCTTATTCTCTCACATGCTCAGTGTGCAGCATGAAATGCACACAACGCCTGCAGCTGATATAAGCACAAGGCTCATCTGCTGCTGGACTACAGATAGAAAATAAAGTGTACGTGAAAAAATTTATCAGCAGAGTACCAGAAGCAGCCCACAGCTGTGTACATGTGCGTTAATTTTGCCATCTGTGAGCTAATAAGGAACAGTACACTGACTAAGCAAGATCTGGTGTGAGCAGCGTGTGGTCTCACCTCACACTTGCACAATGTGAGCAGAGACTAGGCAAGTTCAAGACACCGTGCACAAAGCATACTTAAAGCCGTCTAGAACACATTTTTAACACACAGCTCTGCCTGGCTCTCCCGTTGCAGACACAAACACACACCTAACTGGTTATATTTGATCCTTATTTAGGAAAGCAGCAGGGCTGACTTGTTATCAGATCGAGACATGCGAGACAAACCTACTGGCTGGAGGTCTGGAGCCGATCCCAGCTGACATCGGGTTATAGGTGGTGTACAGTTAAGAATGCCCACTGTTATTTCTCAGGGTAGCCAACAGTCTAAAACCCTAACATATTCAAGTTGCTATTATATAAAACAAGATTTCAGAGGAAAAGTTTGGTATTCTGACAAGAAAAACTGACTGAAACAATCACTTATAAAATAGCTGATTAACTGACTAAATGCTTCTTCTCTACATGTTCTTATAGATGGAGGCAGTATGCATAGATCTGTGTGGGAGGATGTCACACTTCTTTTCTTTAGAGTGTGTGAACAGTAGAAGTGAGCAGAGAGGATGTTTGAAAAACAAGACACGTCTTCAGCTACGTACCTCCAAATATAGAGCTGTGGGAATAGGGGACAGCAGAAAGGCGGGACTATAGAAGGCGTAAAAGTCAGAGACACCAAAACAGACAGAAGAAGATAAACTGACAGGATGATTGAAATGAGGCCAGGTTTCAGCTGCTGCGGCTGCTTTTGACATGAAAGCTTGTAAAAGAAAAAACAACTTATAATGAGAACTCTCTCCTCACAAGCAGCGCTGTATTTTGGACTTTGAGTTTTTAGCATACACCAGCATAATCTCACACAGTTCTGCCCCTTTAAGAGCCCACGTTGCCTTCCATATTTGCCAAAAAGGGTGTGTGTTTTCTATGAAGACCCTCCCCCATTGCAGGGCACTCTGAGTGCAGCTGAGGAGAAAGCAGCATTGAAAACACACACTCACATTCCATCAAACACAAACACTGATGCAGTCCTGACTTGGGAGTAAGGCTATAACAATGCATCACACACACACACACACAGATGCACACTGTATACAAAGTGACACCAGCTGTATGTGTGTGTGTGTGTGTACGCGCAGGGGGTTACCCACCAGCTCTAAACAGTCACAGCCTTCAAAAGCTGGTGAGCTTCGATTTGACACTACCAGCCCAAAACCTAGTTTTAGATGACTAGTATTAACATCAAAAATACAGGTCCAGTGCATCCTCCTCCTTCAACAGGGAGAGAACAAAATGAATAGAGGAAGAGGGGAGGTGGAGGAAGGGTGGGGAAGGAAAGTGTGTGCATGTTTGGGGGTGGGGGTGGGATTTGGACAGGAGCGTAGAAGCACACAAGTGGAGCCGTGTGTTTTCTTTAACAGGTGTACATCTCTCCCGTAAATGTGTGTTGAGAGCGAGCAGCAACCAAACAGTGGAACGAACTGTATTTTACTTGAGTACTTCATATTTCAACTTCACATTTTAGAGGCAAATATTTTACTTTTTATTCAACTACATTTATTTTATAACTTTAGTTACTAGTTACTTTTCAGATGAATACAAAAATACTGTATAAATATGATAAAACTAGCATCAAAACAAATCAGTATGTTTTGATGCTGATACTTTTGTACCTTTACTTTTAACAGAGTATTTTTATACTGTTGCACTGCTGCTTTTAGTTCAGTACAGGATCTGAGTACCTCTTCCACCACTTGTTTTTACTGGATTAATAATATTTTTGGAAGGACAACCATCAGTGTGTGAAATTCATTTATTAGCCTCCTTTGGACTGTCCAGCATAAGTCAGTCAGTGCTACACCACTGACAGGACTAAAGTTTAAAGTGGACATGTAAAACTGGCTTTCTCACTTATACAGCACAGGCCTATGTCTCAGTCTCTGTTTTCTGTTTTCAGCAGCCTCCGTTATAATGCATCACCACATGGTAATAACATTAACTACGTTCTGGTTTCAGTATTTCAGGGTGTAGAGGACACTCTCCAGACCAGACAGTCCTGTACATCCACCTTCATTTATTCAGGCAGCTGGACTTTACAGTAGAAGGGATCCCTAACCTGCCAGTTTGACTAATGTAACTCCACCCAAAATCCCACAACTAAAACTTTACCATTATCAGATGGCCTGCTTGTGTAGATTGGTTCTAGCCCACAGTGTTTTCTTCATATTTGAATTTCTACAGCACTATAACAATTTGGTGAGATGAACTCTCGCCGGAAACTAACGTTTGACCAGCTGTAGACAAATAAGCTCACAAAGCTGAAAAAAGAAACTTATTTAAGTATTTATCTTTACTGCCCATACAAAACTGTGTGCATATGTGTTAATACTTTGTTCTCCTTGCCATTTAAGCAAACCAGCTAATTATGTTTGGCCAATGAAAACCCCATTTGTTTTCACTTCATTATGCCAGGGTTATATTTCAGATTTGGGCTTATGTTTACACTGGGCAGATGCAGAAAATAAACGCTGCTGTTAAAAATGCTGTAAAAAATGTGAGATGACTAGATTTAGCAAGTGTGCAAACATTTCCTTTGTGTATCCTGTAATCGGCTCCTGTGATTAAATTTCATCACTGCTATAAGTAATGTTTGGTTTAAGTTTGGACGAAACACTCTACACTTAGTTCACCTGCTGAGAAAATATGGGAATTAAAGGGAAGAGTAGGACAAACACCAAGTAGTGATTGATGGCACTGACTGATGAAGGTTCCCAATGAGAAAGGAGAGTGAAAAGGGAAGAAATGCAGAGATGGGGAGGAGTGTGGCACCCTGAGACTTGGTGACAGGCTGGGCCAGCTCAGAGGATGGAATGTTCCACAGAAATATGTTGCCTATTCATGGAGGACAGGAAATAAAGCTCTCGCTCTCTTTCCACCTCGGCTCCATTCCCTCTCCTTTACCCTGAATTCAGCTGCCTGTCTTTTTGTCTATTTCCCTCTCTCTTCACCTCCACATCTGTGTTTCTTCCTCTCTCCCCGTCTCCTGGCCTTAGGCTATTTTTTTCTCTGCATATTCTTTCAGCTTAAATCAATTCCTTTTTTCCCTTTCATGCTTGGGGAACTCACACAGTATGCTGGTTCTGCACCACTAAGACTGGTACTGGCTGAATGTACTCTAGCCTGCCATCTGAGCTCTGAAAGGGAAGGATAAAATGATCACTTTCTTTGATATGTAGCTCACTAATACCTAGCTAGAACATACTGTCATTAGGACACATCCTCTGGTGCAAAGTGAAGTACAAACTGAAACACTGGACACTTATACAATATATTGAGCCTAAACTGAGATTTGTTTAAAGTTTCATTTCTTCAGCCCAACTGGTGGCTGTTTCTCAAGTGTGTCATCATACTGATGGAGCCCTCTGCTTGTTATAATGGGCCACAAACAAAAGAGCTCTTGCCATGGGCTCATATCACTGCAATCTGAACAAAAACACTCAGGCTCAGCTGTTCCCCGGCTCTGATGAGACACACAAAACCAGCCAGGCACACATACAAACATTTACACTACAGCACACCAATGAACCACAACTGCAAATATACAAATAAAGACACAGTTATGCCCCAGTGATAAACAAAAGGTATCAGGGCTCCATTTCCTTCTGCAGGCCTGCCACGTGATTAGCACTCACTCCACTTGGGCTTAAAATGTGGAAAACACACACACAGCCTTGTACTACTTGAAGACATACAATTTCATGCACTTTTTTTTTACCAAACATACAATTTCAGTCTATAAAATGATATTAATAATTCATTTCTGAGTGGGTGTCACAGTTTTCTGAAGGGTACAACATTCTTTTATTCTGTATAAAAGTCAATCTGTGTGACAAATGATGCATGAAAAGGCCCAGGCCTGTCACACATACCGAGCCACCACAAGATGGAGAGATGGGAATAAAAGCAGCACAGAGAGATGGAGGGCTTTGATGCCAGGCAGGAGGAACTAGACAAATGACAGCATACTAGAGAGTAACGGACAGAGGGAACAAGACGAAAAGGAGAGGGGAAGAGAGGGAGCAGGTCTTTGCTTGATAAGCTCTGTGTTGGCCTATATAAAGCACAGAGGTACCTGTGCCTTCCAACATCTATTCATTGATTCCTGGACTTGTATGGAAGCCATATCAACAGACTAAATGGTTTGCAAGCTATATACATAGAGTTATATTTAGCCTGTTAGGACCAAGTATGAAACTCAACCCACTTTTGAGGCTCCCAGCACTGGATTTTAGACATCTGTTTGTCATCAATTCCACCCATGAGGTTGAATATAAAGGTCCTGCAACAGCTGGTTATTACCAAAAAATACATATTACACATTTTACACAACAGATAAAGTTAGTTTTCCTAAGAATAGTTTGGATAAATAAAACCAAAAAACTCTCACATACCCACACTGTACCGAACTTGATATCGCCACACTTTGCCTCTCAGGGTGTAATGTCAAACCACGTTGATTTATTCAGCAGGTGGTACTGTCACCTTGCCATCCTGGCCCCTCTCTCTAGACTATGTTGAAATAAAGGCTACGGAGCCACAAATCTAAGAAAAAAGAAACTGTTTCTCAAAAGGTGTGATGCTGGTTTCCATTAATAAAACACAAGGTCGTGTAATCTTTCTTTGGGGGTTTTCAATCCCCAGATGAATAAAATAATGATGTCCCTTATCAAATAGTTTTAAACCAGATCTCAATATCTTTAGTCAATGAGTAACCTACGACTACACTGTCCCTCAGCGGGGCCAATGTCTGCCAGAATGTGCTCTAAAAAAACACTTTATTAGGTTATAAGCTCAGTCCCACTATTTAGACAACGCTGGCATCTAACATGCAATGCTAACACTCCGCAAGGTCAATTCCTGGCAGAAGTGGCCTGATAGAACATGGTGTTGCACCTGTTGAAGCTTTTTGGGCTGGACTGGGCTTTACATATTGAAATATAAAACCTCACATGAATCAAATCCTTGAAAAAATGCTTAGTTGACTCATTATTTTGAGTCTTCGTTCCACTGGCAAAGACTTAGACTTCAAAACAGTGTCCTAATACTCACTTATTCCAAGCATCCTTGAATTGATAGGCATTCCATTCAGTTTCCCACAAACAGATGAATCTGTTTTCCCACAGTCGATTCTATAGAGAACAAGGTTACAAGAACATGGACACTGCAGGTTTTCAAGAGGCCTAACTAATGACTCCTATTGTCAGGCCATTAAGGGGGACTAGCTGACATTTAATGGTAAGACTGAAGCTAGGTTTAGCTAGTGCATTAGTGTGTGTAAATGCCAGAGGCATAAGTACAGGTTTCATGTTTAAAGCGGCCTAAGTCAAATCTGCACAAAAACTATATTAGGAGCTCAGGAATAAGTGGTTATTGTGAAAGAAAGAAGATGAGGATCAAGTGGGATAAGTAAAAAAAAAAAGGTCTTTTATTAGTGCCATTATATTGATTATAGCACATGAGGGATCATGTGAATGGGGGACCTTTATTTCTGTGCACAACTGGCAGGTCAAGGTTTAAATTAACATATAGAAAGGAAACCTACATTACAGGGAAGCTACTAAGACAGGCAGCATTTCTGTATTGTAAGACAAGAGAAACATTGTTCCTGTAGTTTTCCAGTCAGTACTGGTTCTTTGTAATGGCTTAAGGCTATGCAATAAAGCATGTATTCACAGTGATATACTGTACTCATGCCTATAGAGCAGCCCTGTGATGGATTGGTGACCTGTCCAGGGTGTACCCCGCCTTCGCCCGATTGCCGGCTGGGATTGGCTCCAGCAACCCCCCCCCGTGACCCCGTTCAGGGACTAAGAGGTTGAAAATGGATGGATGGATGCTTATAGAGCTATATTATTAGCACTTCCCTGCCCGTACAATTAAACAGAGGTAAATTAGCACTTTAAGGATGCAAATACAATACGTACATTGATTCACACTCAGCACGCACTATAGTCCAATAGAACGCCAGAGCAATGCTGAGAACTGGATCTAACCTAAATAATCATCTGTAATCTCTGGCACCAATTCCTGCAGCGACACTATGGAAGGCTGGCAACAAGCCTTCGTCATCTCAAAGTGTTTAACGGCCACCCCCTTTCCACACACATATATACAAAGCACTGCCAGGTACAGATGCTAAACAGATAATCGCAGTCATGAAATCTAACCACTCAATCAAATGGCCACAACTGGTAATCTATTTGTTCAAACACAGGTTGGATGCACGGTGTCCCTTAACCCTTAATGTATATTGTAGCATAACTTCAGGCAAAGTAAGAAGGCCAATGCTTGACAAAAGGCTGTAACACTGTAAACCTGGGTCTAGTCTGTGAAGAACTGGGCTCATTAAGTATTACAAGGCTCATGTTGATCATACACATCATCTCGTCTTCTAAACAGCCTTACTAGGGTGGCTCCATATATAACCATGAGATAACACATGACTACTCATGGCCACACTCTTACTTAACTCAGTGTTAAGTGGCTGGGCAATAAGCAAACCATAAACACCATACATTTTGCTGAGGTTGAATATCTTGGCACTTATACATTTTGAAGTAAGCAAACAGACAAGTTTGAGGATTCCTGGTGCGATTTTTCCGTCCATGCTAAAAATGTCCCACCTTCATCTTGCTGAGTTTTTGATCCCTACCCCCCTTCCTTTTGTTTTGATGAGAGGATTTTTCTCAGTTTCTTTGTTTCACCTGAATAGACTGAATTCATTTCTTCTCTTTTATTGTTTTAACATTGAAGAACTTAAGCCAATCTGTAAATGTGGTCACAGGAAGCCCGGACCCAGGGCAACTGCACAACATGCACCTCACCTTCAAGGCTGGTTACATTAAAGCTCCACATGACGCCACACTCAGCTGAGGACAAAGCCCACTGGTTTCGCCCAGACAGAGAGGTGGGGAGTGGCTGTCACAGCAATGCAAGGACAAGCAAAAGAGAGTAAAACGTAGACTTGCAGGTGGATTTTCTGCAGCAAGGCATGCATGTGTGTGCAGAAATCTTCTACTTACATACATGTGAGGCAGGTAGTGGATTCCCATATGCACATGTATATATGGGTGATGCAGACTCTGACTGCTTAGCCTACATGTGAGCTTAATGTGTATGTCAATGCCATTATGCCCTGCATCTCATGACAATAGGAGGCAGGGCACTGCAGCTAGACATAGTAACACTGTAATAATTCATTCTATTCTAAAACTTAATTATTTTTAAATATACTGTAACAAGAGTCTGATGCCAAAATCAGTGCTCTCTTCACTGCATAATGCAAAGCAACTTCCAAGTGCAATCCAAGGGAACAATACGCCCACTGCACCCAGAGCTATCTTCTCTCCTGTAAGCTTTACAGTGATCACCATCACTGCACCCACTGAACTACAATCATAATCTCTCCTTCCTGCACAGCCCATATTTGCAGTACCAGGAGGGCATGGGAGTGCAATTGTAACAAAATTACATTTTTACACATGCACTTAAGACATTAATGAGAGACACACACCCATAATGATGATTTATACACTGAGTTTTCTATCACTGTCCCCAAACCACCGCATACATGCATATACACATAAAGAAAGAGTGAGGAGGGCAGACAAAGCAAGGGAACGCCCCCTACACCTTGCAAGCAAGCTGCTGCTGTCAGGTCATCAGCTGGCCTTGACTTGATTCCTGTCATTCTTCACTCGGATTCTCAATTGATTTAAGCAAAAGATGACCGTGAAGACCTGAATGCTCAGCGTGCAAACGCTAACTGCAACCATTCAGAAATGACGAAATAGCCTGAACCTTAATGCAATTTCCATATATAGCCATCTTTAAAGTTCACACAAAGCAGAAGGCTGGCTGAATTACCAGATTCGAAGATTCTGAAGCGTACTCACCGAACAAAAACGAGGTGGACTCGGAAGGGAAAACAGTGTGGTAGTCTGAACTGAAGCGTTCCTATCGTCTGGGAGTTTGGCCTTTTGTTATCTCTGTGCTACGCTGTCCGATTCCAGGTAACCACCGTTATGGGGCGAAAATCGACTTCGAAGCCACAAGCCGTTAGTTAGCCTAACTGTCTAAGGAGTAAGATAATCGGACAGTTTCAGCCCTGTCCTCCCAGTCTGTGTTGCAACATATCTTGCGTTCTTGCTGGCTGACTACGTCCCTTCCTCTTTGTGCCTGTCTTTTTTGTGCTCAGAACTGTTTTCGTTGCTTCAACCTTTGCCTGAAATTCCTCCTCTGCTCCTTTAAGCGAGAACGTTTCCGGGGTTTGCTAGGCAGTATGTACTGGGCGAGGCTTCACGGCCAGCTGAGCGCCTGTCATTTAGGCGATTGGCCACCTCCATTCGGCATAGCCAATCAGCACTCATAAATTAGGCCTTGTTTATAATGTGCGCCTGTGATTGGACCGTGGATTACTTCAAGAAACGCCCAGTACACGTGCATTTTCTCCCCTCCCATTCTTCACTGCCAAGGGTAGCTGTTGTGCTGTCAATATATCCTTCACAGAAACTATAGCAAACCATACACTGATGTAAGTAACAGAACACTTTATACATATATAGAGCACTGACACCAACATGTGGAGAAAGTATTTACGGCAACAGTTTATTCTGCAGTCAAATTTACACAAGGTAATCCCCTTCCTTTCTTCCATTGGCACTGAATCAGCCATAACCATGCTGTCACAGAGCTAAGAATAGATCAGCTACACGTTGTATCCCCATACAGCCTTGCAGCTGCACTGAGCTCCACACCCATCTACCCAGGGTACACAGGAGACTCATTACACTTTGCTATAGAGAAGAGGCCTAAGAGAAAGGCCCACTGCAAGGTCAGGAAGTGGAATATAGGACGTTGCATTTCCTGCTCTTTGCCATTCATCAGTCGTTATGCTGATATTCTACTTAACCAGTGCAACCACTGCATATATTGCAAAATCGCCCTTCCTGTATTTGTTTTTATATCTGGATTACAAATTTTGGGAACCAAACAATTATGCCTTATTACAAACCCCTTTAAGGTGATTTCTTATTTTAATTAGTTCTGCTGTAGCAAAATTTATTTTCCTCATGGATGCATTTAAGAGAACAGGATGCATCTTTTGGGCCTTTTTCATGTAGCAAATCAAGCTTTCATCATGGATTTTGTGCGTAGGTACATAATGGAGGACATTATGTACCTACGTTACAATTACCACAATATTTTTTATTTGTCACATCATGTTTTACAAGTCATGCTCTGTTGCCAATTGAAATGACACACAAACTAGCACCTTCTTTCTAAAATAAAGAAGAAAACCAAAAGGACAATTTAAAATGCTGAATCTATTGAGATAAAAATGTGTATATATTTTATCACATCCTATATCATAGTGACATTTCCATATGCAGCCTTCAAGCCTTTCTCAGGATTCATCACATATCATGATGTGAAAAAGGAAATGAAGGCTCATCGTTTGTTCAGCAGTCACTACAAAAAACAGAGCTGCTTCTGGTATCATGTGTATTCGAGATTATGAACAAAAACAGTGTTATTCAGTGATGTCAACTTATCACAGTAACTGCTTTTGTATGTTGAGTGGCTAGTGCCCCCTGCTGGTCACTGACCAGAACAGTTGCAAGAGCCGTGACGTTCTAACCATAAAGAATCTAGACAGGAAATGAACTTTGGCTTTTCTTTCCGATTTCTTTGTCTGTGGTCACACTTCCCTTTTGATCCAACTGAGTAGCTCAGTGACCAATTAAGGGGCAGCATCAATTCGTTGTTGAGCCAGTCAATGTAGTTTTTATATTAAAAAAATGCAATTATCAAACGCAACTTTCTATTGTCAGTAGACACAGTAAACACTCACCGATGGTCTAAGCATGTTTCTTTACTGCAAACATTCCCCTTTATGTTATAAAGGTTACATTACATTTCCCATAAATACACTTTTCAATCTGGCTATAGATCAACAGTGGGGTGTCTAGTCAATCCAAGCATTTCAATTAAGTATAAGAAACATAGTATAACAGCTCCTTCACATGAATTATAACAGCCTTAAATTTTAAATGTCAGAATTTGTCTGTTCAATCATTTTTGCTTTTTTTTGGACTATCAGTGCCATGTTCACTTGTCCTCCTCTTCTGTTTGTTCTTCTGCCTTTCCTCTTTTCTGAATTGGTGTCTGTTGAAAAAAAGAATAAAATCACATTAACATGCTAAGACTAATGAATTTAATCTACTGAGCTGAAAATTAAATACTGTCTCTTTTTAATGTTTGCTCAGGGACAGCAGATGGAATTTACCCTGTAGGCCTACTCTTCCTCGAATACTAATGAAATACAGTAGAATGTTGAAAAAACTTAGAAAAAAATCAACTGGACTAGATTTCTAGGTCAAAGACGTTTCACCTCTCATCCAAGAGGCTTCCTCAGTTCTGACTGACTGGTGTTGAGCCGGAGATATTTATCCCCCTCGGTATGGTTTCAGTCCTTTTGAAGGCCAACAATGTCCCCTAACGACTGAGTTGTTATAGCCCAGTATCGGTGAGAGTCGTATGTATTTAGAGTAGAATGTATTTAATTAAAAAGTGTTTTAGTATGTACATGTTGGCAGCTTGCTTGAGTTAACAAGTGCTAAAATACTACTGGGATACAAAAAAAAAAAAAAAAAGTTATTGTGCTGTTGCCATGATGACCACTAATAAATTACAAATTACATTAGTGTGGAAGTCGTCGCTAGCAGCAGAATAACAATGAGCTGTTTTCCACTGACCGTTTTGGCATGTTACTGTCACACAGATATTTTTTGCTTTCAAAAATCTCCGTTAGCTGTTAAATCAATGATGGTCACTCTCAGTAGGTAAAAAGTGTTTGCAGCCTCTGTACAATCTCACTTCTGTACCATATAGATCTATACATTTAGTTTGTGCACAAACACATTACTCATCTGACATCTAGGAAGAGGGAATGCAGCTCGTAGTTATATAAGATCAGATAAGATAATCCTTTATTGTCATTGTAACACATACAACAAAATTTAAGCGCATGTTGCATATGTAATTTTTCCCATTTATAAAGATTTATAATGTAGGGATCCTGGAGTATCATAAGTATGGTGTTTTCAGCAAGAATGAGATTAAAAAAGCAAAACACTTCAGGAAAAGATCATACAGTAACTCTGAAAAGAAATAAGCACCATGTAAAAAAATATCACATTACTGCAGTATGTTTCCATACACACTGATGATCTTCTATCAAAGTGTACAGTGGTGCATGTAACAATCTTAAATTTGTCATTGTTCTGTCTCTCTCACACACTGGTGTTGTGGCAAGTGCTGTGATCTCACCTGGACTGCCAGCGCCGGCCACTGTTCCACACTCTGCCGAAGGAGGGAAGCCAGTTGGCGTCTGTATGTGAGCTGTGATCGAAGTTGGCCCCGACTCTGTTCGGTGGAAGCTTCTTCAGCTTCTCTTGCTCCTCTGGCAAAAGACAGGTGAGGCCTTTTTAACTAGATTAATCTTTTTTAAGGTTTTTATTAAAGTCGAAATTGACATAGTCTTTGTATCACTGAGACTGACTAAGATTAAGATCAGAAACCAACATATTACTGCTTTGATTATAAAGGCACAACACTAGTACCTAAATGTATATATGGCAGTAATGCAACAAAAGTTAAAGTCCTCAAGCATATCAAGGCATAAAATCATAGTTCCACATTTTCCATAAGTAATGTAACTGATAAAAAAAAAAAACTGCTCATAATTGCTCTTCTCCTGAAAATTCAAAATCAGTTTCATGAAAATTATCATTAAGCTGGAACATTTCTTTGGGCAAACAGCTCAGCCACCAACAAATTTACATAACACACATCTTAAAAAAAATCTGTATGCATGATTCCTACTCTGTTTAAGGAACTCCTGGAGCGATGGGCCAATCTCTGGATGTGCTGCAACGCCGGAGGTTCCCTCCAGAGGATCGTCCTGGAGCCAGGGAGGGACGGCACCTGTGAAGTATAATAATCCTCAGTGGTAAGGCCTAATAAATATACATCTATCAAACCCGTCAAATCCAGATGAGTGTGATCAACTGGAATGAATTTTAAAGACAGTAAACATTTTCTAGACATATCTATGATATAAAATTGTAATAAATAAACCCAACCATTACATAAACCGATCACCGTACCTGTGTGAACATTTCCACTGTCTGATGAATCCTGTAACAGAGATTAAATTAGGTTATTGTGTTTGTGTTTTTTTTAAAAAAAAGGTAATTATTAAACACTTTGCTGTAATAGCTGTCAGTCTACCTGATAACCTATGAAAGTGAGGCCTTGTCCTGGGGCAGCCCACGGTACTTCGACCATTGAGTCGACAAAGCTGGTCCCCACCTGCTGATCGGATCTCTGAGATGTAAACTGAAAGCTGTTCCCCAGACAATAAGATGAGCCCCAAGCAAGCAAGAGTAATTTCAAGTGCTATGGATGATACAATGCAAAAAATGCATCCAGTGTCACAGGGAGACACAGCGTTACCTGACAGAATCCTTTGCAGACATGTCGGTGCTGTTGGGTCCATTGAACAACTCTGGCTCTGCGTCACGCTGATATTGATTCAGGAAAAGCCAACAGTGGTTTCACAGAGGAAGTCTGACCTCTAATCATGCTTCATATCAATACTTATCATCACAATCCACAAAGACTACTTTCCCAAATGTTAATTCTCCATTAACATACTTATTTTTCTCTTTAAGCTTCAACCCATTTTCACCATCTCTGAGTAGGTTTTAAACTAATACCTTTCCTATCGTCTAATGAGGGGAAATACTTTGCTCTTAAACTACTCTGGCCAATAGACAAGGTTTCACCAGCCACTTTACTAAGTTAAACAGGATCTCCAGAGGGCTCTTATGTTGGTGGTTACAATCATTTAGCGGGAGAATGGTGGGATTTCCTATCTTACAGTGCAACTCAAAATCATGAAAAACTACAGTCAATACCACAGTGATGGATACTGCCACTACATCCATGGAAAACAAACCTCTAAAAGAGACTGAAGGACCTCATGACGATGCTTCTCCTGGGCCCGGATATAATCAGCTTGCTGCAGGAATGAAAAGAAAAAGTTTACCATCCTGCTTTAAATATCATTCTTCAGAACAGTCTTTAATATTGTAGTGTAGCATTGGCTGTAGAGTTAGTTGTCATTAAGGTTAATGCTATGTTCATTGAAAACAAATGCATTACCTGTTTAATTAATTCATCCTCCTTCTCTACAAATGATTCCAACACGTTTGCCACCTCAGCTTTAAACCTAAACAAAACAAACCATGAACCATGCAATTCTTTTTCAAAAAACATTATATTAATGTAGACTTTTTAGCTTGTTAGGTCTACCTTTCAATGTCCTCCTCAGTAATGATGACCTTGTCTCTAAGTTTTGGGTCAGCCTTATTGTCCCACCAGAATTTGTGTGTATTCTTCCTGTGCTCTGGGCTAAGACCAAATACATTTGTTATGTCAACCAACAACCAGAAGAAACAAGTAATTTATTACAAATATTCATAAGAACGAGTGAGAATGAGTATAAGAATTTCAAACATTTGACAAATGTCAAGTTGTTTGGGCAAAACAAGCCACATCTACATTTTACTATAGCTGTATGCAGACTCTGGGCAAATTACAGATTTTGTTGAATTTTGAAGGGAAAATAAATATATACAACTTCAGCAGCAAACGTCAAAGGTTAATACATGGTTACATTTTGTTTCAAGAGCTTAAAAAGTAGAAACTAAATTAAACAGGGACTGTGGTAAAAGTCGGGGCACCACACTACTCGTCAAGTCTCAGAACCTCATTAACTCATTAAGTTTTAATTCACTCATTAGGAGTAGCAAGGTAGGTTAAGAACTGTAATCAGAAATTGCCAGTTAATATATTCTCTGTCAGGGGGTGGCTATAAAAAACACAGTAAAAACCATCAAAGCACTCCCAGACAAACAAAATAGCTAATTAAAGGTTGAATCAAACAAAGCTTACGTGCACATATGTTCTAACAGGCCTCCGTACAGCACTGTCATGTTGCCATCTGTGATGTTTCGTTCTACTTCAAGCCCACAACAGTAGCACCAGAATGTCTTCTTGTGCTGGGTGCTCTCAAACTTTTCTACTTGGGGTTTTTTAAGTGTTCGGCGAGCTTCCTTCACCTGGGAGACAGTGGATGAACCAAACACAGAAAACATAAAAGTTACATTCGAATACTAGAAGAGTAACGCAGTCTAATAAACAGGCCTGCAATAAATTCCAGCTTCATAAAGATTAAAAAGTTGTATAGGTCATATTGGAGGCTGTAGTTTGAGGTGTTATTAGTAATATTGGATTACATCTACAGATGGTGGATTATAGAGTAAAATACAAAGATCACAAAGTCACATACACTCAGCTGGTAGTTCATTGTGTCCACCTGTCTAAGACTATTTTACCTGCTTTAGAGAGGTGTTGGTTCTACTGTAAGATCGTTTTAAAGGCTATAATTTGTGGTGTTGTTGTGCTATATTGCATTATACAAAAATGCTTCCATTTATTAGTCTACCCTGAGATAACTGATGTGGCCAAAATAGCAAACACCCGTTGGTATAATGCAATACAATTCAACAGCACCGCAAACCATATCTTCCAAAATAACCATATACTTGAATCACTATCCCTCTAAAACAGTTTGAACCTTCATAAAGGGAAGATTTATTGCAAGTTAGTTAGACTTCCCAGTAAACTACTGAGTTTACACTGTGTACAGTGTATACTATAATATAGTATATTATAGTATATATAACCTTAGACTGTATTGCTAAAAAACGCAAATGTTTCTACGATAAAATCTAGCAGTGCAAACCCAAAAATTGCTATAAATCCGTGTGTGTGTGTGTGTGTGGTAGATACAGTGTCCGTGATGGGGTGACACAACTTGATCGTTTTGATTTCGACGACGGTTAGCAGCTATAGCAATGCGGCTAGTACACCAAAAGGCTAGGTTCACCAAAGTGAAAGAAAATACGAGCACACAATACTCAAAATGTTAGTCGGCAGTAAGAATCAGTTGACCTACTTACCTTTTCTAAAAATTTGAGAAGAACCACTCTCAATCTGCTTTGGTGATTCTTTCCGAAGACGTGTGTCTTCCCTTTGAATGTTGTCTGCCTACATATGGCACAATAATATGCACCCATTTATACAACGTGTGAAAAACGGAAAACACACTGGAGCCGAATTAACAGTTTGCTAGAAGCAAGCATTTCAATTATTTAGTTTTATTGAATTTTTGTTCTGATCCACCTATTCAGGTAAAACGCTAAGCAACACTGGCTATGTTAGTAATCCGCCACAGGAAGCAATTCCACGTCGCTATATTGCCCCCCTAGAAACAATCATACGGAACTATTATTTTTCTCGTTTAACGGGGGACGACAACCTGGTGGCAAACAACTTTAAGGTGCATTACCGCCACCTACCATGCTGGAGTGTGGAGCAGAATTATTTACCCAAACCCAATAATACTTACACATGCTAATAATAATCCTAAACTCTATCCAGCAGCCTTGCATCGCTCAAGAATAATATATTAAAACACCCACCTTTATAACTGAATAAATACTCAAAAGTCAATTCTGCCATTTCCCCTTCTCTTAGCTTCCTTTTCCACATTATATATTTGACACTCACATAAAACGTTTAACTCGTTCCTATTTAAAAGTACTCACACAAACCATTTGGATGTTTTCCTTTCAAATGCATTGTCTTATTAAGCCTTGCATGCCCCAATCATAACCTTGTTATAGCTTTTCATCTCTGTTATTTCTACATGTTACCTACATGCCTTATCCTTCTTTTTGCATATATTGTATTTTGCCCTGTTATCCTACTGTCCCAATCCCTCTGCCATTCTAAAAAGAAAGTGTTAGAGCTCTACTGGGGAATTAAAAGCAAGAGAAAATAAGTAGGTCATTCGTTTGGACCTGAACAGTTCCAGCTCTGTAATAGTATGAATGACCAATGGTAGAGAGTTCAGTTCCACTGAAAAGGCATGATCACCAAGCTTCTTACATCTGGATCTTGGAACATCTAGAAGAAACTGACCACTAGACTGGAGTGAATTGTTATGCTTGCCAGACATTAAACGTTCTGTCAAGTAGGAAGGGGTCATATCAAAGTCAAAGTGTTTATTTGTCATATGCACAGTTAGGAAACGTGTTTCCCTGTACAGTGAAATTCTTACTTTGCCGTCCACATGAATGCCACAAAATACAAATGAAATATAAAGTAGATAAATAAGTAACACAAAATCTAAGGCACTTTAAGCAGCAAATGCA